AACTAATAGATAATGTCTAAATAATGGGTTAAATTCAAATAATATTATAGATAAACTAATTAATGGAAATACCATTGCATTCTTTGGTAGTATAGATGCTAATACAATAGATGCTAATAACACTGCATTATATGATAAAACTCCATTAATTTCATCAACATAATTATTAATATATCCATAATCAAAGAAACAAATATGAATAATAAATAATACTGTTGATAATATATAAATACTATCAGGATAATAACCTGTTGTTATTGTTGATATTACTGGAACTAATCCCCATACTGTCCCAAATATAATAATTGATCTCCATCCACAAAACACTGTTGGTGATATTTTTAATGGAATGCATGACAAGAAACACATAGATAGTAAAATAATATCGGCTACATAAACTCCTCTAACTGGAAGTATTTCATGTGCAGTAAGAAGAAAGATACATATATACATAATTACTGTTGATATTTGTTGTGATAATGCCAATGACTCTCTTACAATGTCTTTTAATGGCAACACATCTAAATGATAATTCACTCTCATACCCCCTAAAAACCAATCTTCAATATAATTATCAGGAAATGGTTGTTCTGTATGAAGGTATTTGTTCATATAATATGGTGATACTTCTGGTGTAGGAGAGTTAGTTTGGAAACAATTCATTTATTTAATATTTTTAAGTTAATTTTTCCTCAATAAAAAAAAAACACAAAAGGGTTAAAAAAACTTATTATCTTTTTTTGTTATATTTTCAAAAAATCAATCAATAACAAAACAGTAACTTATTAATGTAAATCTTCTTTTATTGTTCTTTGTTTATATATTCCCTTTTAGTTAATTAATAATCTCTTATCTCTATAACCTTATTTGCTTTAGTTTTATGAGTAATTTACTTAGATTTATTAAGTCAATAACTCATTTATTATTCCTATGAAAAATAATAATTATTATTATAAATATTGTTGTTTGTCTTTAACCATTCTATTTTAAATATTCATTATTAGTCCGTCATAACAAAGAAATTTAGGTGAATAAATTCAAAACTTTTACTGATGACTTGTTGTTTATTATTTGCTATTTTTTAAGGAATGGATAAAATACCTGTGTTCATTCAAAATTTACTTAGAGTTGATAGTAACACATGGATACTATTGCATAATATGTATGAATATTAACCGAGTAATAGAGATTAAATAATCATAAAAGAATAATAAATTATAGAACTTGAAAATATAAAACCTAAAAAGAGATAATTAAAAGAAATAACCATGGATAATGAAAAGTTACCTGAAATTGAATCAAAGAATGTTAGAGAAGTATATGAAATTATAGCCCAACATTTTTCACAAACAAGATACAAGGGATGGCCTAAAGTAGAAGAGTTTCTTAATGGACTAGAAAATCACTCAATAGTATATGATATTGGAAGTGGAAATGGGAAGTATCATAATATTAATCCTCATATTACTGTGATAGGATTTGACCCTTGTTATAATTTGTTAATGGAAGCTGTCCATAATCAAAAGAGTCAAAATGTACAGGCTGATGGGTTACATGTTCCAGTAAAATCGAATTCTGGAGATGCAGCAATTAGCATTGCCGTTGTTCATCACTTTTCTACTTTTGAAAGAAGAGTTGCAGCAATTCAAGAAATTATAAGAACGATTAAAGTTGGTGGAAGAGCTTTAATTACTGTTTGGGCAAAAGAACAGAAAAAATTTGAAAATGAAGAAGGACAAGACTTGATGGTTGCTTGGCATTTATCAAAGAAAAAAGACCCAAACAACCCAAATCAACCAGAAGAAGTATATCAAAGATATTACCATGTTTTTATTAAGGGAGAATTAGAACAAGTCATTGAAAAAGTAAAAGATTGCAAATTAGTGTCATGTGGGTATGAAAGAGATAATTGGTATGCTATTATTGAAAAGATATAAATTAAAAAAAGCTTTCTTATCTTCGGAATGAGTACATTTTTATTAACCTTTCATGATTGTGGATATTATTTATGTTGTCTTTTTTTCTGAGAGGATTTTAATATGAATAGAAAAAAAATAATATAAAAGACTATTAAAAGATGAAAAGAAAAAAAGAGATGTAATGGAAAGAACACTGAAAGTGCTAAAAACTGAAGTCTTCAATTTTTTAGACAAAAAGAAACAAGTTGAAAATGAGTGGAAACAAATAAGTCAAGAACATCAATGTCTTAAGAATAAAATTGAGCAAAAAAAGAAAGATCTAATAGAGCAACATGAAAAAGAATATCAGGCGAAAAAGAATTGGAACCAACAAATCCAATCAATATTAAAAAATTTTGAAGATGCAATGGTATTAGCTGAAAAAACTGACCAAGAATTAAAACAGAAAAAGGAATCAATCCTGAAAATACTTCAAACAATAAAGGATTTGAAAGAACAAACAAAGGTTCATGACACTATTGATTATAGTGAACTTGAACATCTAAAACAGAAAGAATTAATACTTACTCAACGGATTGAAGAACAAAAGGAACGGTTTAATGTACTATGTGCTGATTTAAAAAATACAGATGAAGAATTGCAAAATTGTCAAAAGAAGATTGAGACAATGCAAACACCCCAAGAATCAATTATTCCAACTGACCTACCGAAAAAAAGAGGAAGAAAGAAAAAGTAGACAACCGGTAAAGATGAACGAATGATTTTTTAGTTTAATATGTTAATTCAGTTGTTGTAAGAGAAGTCCTTGTTCAGACAAATCTACAACATCTTCATATGTTCCAATAAATTTATCATTATGAAACAATAATGGAAATACTCCTCTTAATTCAGTTTTGGAAAACATAAATTTTTTAGCTTCAGGATCTTTATCAATACAAATAACTTTCACTTCTTTTTTAGTTAAAATTTCTATTAAATTTTTTAAGTTAATTGTATGTATTCTCATTTCAAGACCACAAATACTTGATGAATAAATAATAGTTCCGCTCATTGATTAAAATTTTTTAGATCATTTTAAGACAAGTTTTGGTTTAATAGAAAAATAAATCTATAATAAGAAAAGGAAAGAAATCATTTATTTTTTACCATAAAAGTTTGGCATATATTGTCCAAATCGTTCATAATAGAATTTATATTGTTCTCTGATTTTATCTTCATCAAAATGATATAAACTTTCATCATGTGGTTTTCTTCCATGTTTTCTTTGAGGGTCTCCTTCTTTGATAGTAAGTTCTAATTGTTTCTCAGCTTCTGGAGTTATTTCAATGCCAAAATAGTCATAAATTTTCTTTACTGTTTCTTTTGGTTTTGTTACTGCTTCAGTAAAACCAACATCAAAAAATTGTTTTGCTCTTGTTGGGTCTTGACGGATAT